GGTGGCCTCAACTTCCGGTAAAATAGAGCTGAAAACATGCTATTTTCTGCAGAATATTGCCTTTCCTTCTCAAAGTAGGAGATCTATCACAAATGCACCACCGGTATTGAACTAATTGCTATCTTAGCTACTATTGGTGAAAAACTTGGGTTATTTTGTTAAGATTTCGATGGGGCATTTTTGTATTTTTTTCCGTCGGTTTGGATGTAAATTTACAAAAGCGTGACCGGTCTTGAAAGCAACGGGTAGAGAAAAACTGGACTGGCTTGACAGAGCATGCTCGGATGCACCGCCAAATTCAAAGAGTTGAATTAATTTGCAGCGTTTTGATATGTAATTTGTTGGGATTCGTGCAGATTTCGGTGGGGCAAAATGACTTCGAAGGTTCACCTTGCTCTCTTTCTTCTCCTCGCTTGTACCGTGACGGTTTCTGCAGTTGAAGATAATTTTCAAGGCGAAAACGGTGAGAAATTCAACCAGCAGAACGGTCCTTCGTATACTTACGAGATTAACAAGTAAGTAATTTAAAGTGATGATGAATATTTTTATAGGAGCTTAATTATATTTTCTAACGGTTCGATTTCTATATTTTCGGATATTTAATAATTCCTCGTTTCTTCTATTCACTCCCGCAGCTTTTTAATTTATACTATTTCAAAGGCCGACGAAGAGACCAGAGAATCTGCTCTTGCACCTTGCCCGTGAATGTTGCCTCTATCGTCCAGCGAACCTTCCTCGGGGAAAAATATTTTTTTCCAAGCGAACGAAGGGAAAGTAATTCCTTTTATTATCGTAATCACGCCACTCATCGTATTCGTGACTGAATCCCACGACATGAATTTTTAGCTGTTTTCGCGTCGTATGCACTTCAACAACCTCACCAACCTCACCAACATACAAATCCCTGTCAGTTTTGAGTTTCCGCTCCACTTTCTCCATCTTTTTTTCGCAAAGCTGACAGAATTCTCCACAAAACGCCGTGGAAGACATGACATTCGTTTCGGTCGATCGCCCATGTTTATTTGTGATGGTGAAACGTAATACCTTTGCGCACGCCCTGTAGCATACAATCCATGTAATGATCACTGAAGAGCAAATGTCCTGATTTGTGGGCAATGAGTTTGATATGGATTAGAAAAAATTCATTTAATTAAAAAATATATTCGAATTAAAAACATTTCATTTCAATTCGATTTTTTTAAAAAAAGACAAACAAACAAACTATTTTCAAGGTCGATTGTATTCTTAATAAGAAAATCACTAAAAAAAAAGAGGAAAATTAATATAAAAAATAAATAATGATAATAATAACAATAATAATAATAATAATAATACTCTTTGTTGTTGTCCCCAGCGCATAGCAAATTGAAATGAAACATCATTACTCGCTCAGTGCAGTACCGGTTATTGATTTTACAGGTGACACCATATGGAATAGACCGAGAACTTACACAGTTCATTCAGACACTCTCCTCCGAATATAAATTGAGGCCCCGTTCAGATATACAGATAACCAGTCGCGGATAGAAGGATCAGCCTCCCCCCAGGGAGTCACAGCCAAGTCCAGGTTTTGTAAGGAAATGTATGAAAATTTGGCTCGCCTAGGGTCGCTCGGGTAGACGAGTGACCCTTCCCAGGGACGTTACTCCTTATAAACGAAGCCTACCGTTCATATGGAGAACACTTACCCCAAAAATTCGAGTTCACGGCTCGTTTTCCCTCAGAGTAATACTCAAAACAAGGACATTTGCTCAAACAATTTATTTGGCAAACGCGTTTAATCAATTAAACCTGATACCAGTAATTTCAGCCAAAAATTAAACAACGGCGAAATATTTAGCTGGACGCTATAAATTTCAACCGCTGAACCGTTGATAAAGTGGGGTCTGGGTCCACTTAGGCTTTAATTTCCCCACAAATATTTATCACGAGTCACATTGAATTCGTTCGTATTTTTGCTGAATGTTGACTCCAGGATTTCTAAAGCTCGTTATAGATCAATGGACCTTTAATAATAGTGGAGCGAACTATAACAGCTGCAACTGTCTACACAAGTTTGACTCCCTCCCCCACCCACCGTCCTCAATCAAAAATTCCTGACTTCCCCCTCCCCATTGAGGGGATGAGGAACATCAGCCCTTTTTCTGTGGTCATGTACGAAAGCCGAATTCAATAATTGTTTTATTATTCATTGAAAATAATTCCTAGTTTAAAAACATGACTAAAACATGCTTACCTCCATCCATCCATCGATGTTAAGTTCATCTTCGATAGTGCACGTTTAGGTTTGTCCAGCTCCGCAAATATTCTCCAAATAGCAGATGTCGCCCTTCGAGTTGTCTTCTTGCTGTTCTTGCCTTTTTTTTAGCTATTTTTTTGCCTAGTTCTTACTCTTGAAACGAGTGAAATGTCCGCCATTTTTTAAGCCCACAACCAAAATAACTTAATCTCGTCCCCAGGCCTTCTCGGTTAACGGTGCCTTAACCTGCGAAAATGCTGCATTTTTGACGTCATTTCCTCGTTAAACACAAAATTCTTGGTCATCTGGTTATGGTGAATTACTCTTGCGTTTTTAGCCAATCAGAATCGGGAAAATATTTTGAATGAATAATAAATTTGTTTAATGAGTCTATTATTTATAGGACAAAGATGGCAGAAAACGTTTTTATATTTCGATACTTAAACTATACAGTATGATAAATTATTATCATTATCAGTTATTATTGCAGTACAATGTAAATACTAAGAATTATAAATAGCCTTTTATAATTTGACTCTTTAATTCAGATTTTTCTGCCACAGAGTTTAACAACAAGCTATTAAAAAAAGATATAAAGATTACCTATTTTACCGTCAGCTAGTGCAGGGCCTGGATTCGAGAAACCTTGGGCGACCTGGGACAATCGGAAATTCGGCAAGTGATCGGTGATAAAGTGAATTCTTTTAAGAGATCCAAGGGGCTCCAAAGTTTCTCGGTTCGTGACCTCGCAACGGCTGACCACAAAATTCCAAATGGCCGCCATTTTGCTAAGCAATAAGGAAAGAAATCTTAATTTAATTAATATAATCTATTCGGATGTGAGAAACCCTGTGATTGGTGGTAGCATATGATTATCATTCATTCAAAACATTTTGCCGTTTCTGATTGGCCCTGATCCCCCGGCGAAATCTTCATAACCAACTGGCGTTTATCATATTTGGAAAATGCGAGCAATATACCATCGATTCGGTGGAGACGAGGTTGATCAGTGGTATATTTGATTTTATAAAATAACTAAGATAGTAGGCGCGTTCTGATTGGTTAAAAACCTATGGTTTATTGTGTCTGTAAACTCATAGTTTTACTTAAAGTTATTTTATAAAAGCAATAGACCACACTTTCTATGGGTTTACCGGCGTGATAACCTACGCGGGATGTTGGGAGAACACGAGAAAAGCTTGTAGATCACTCGCCTTCGGCTCGTGATTTACAAGCTTTTCTCGTGTTCTCCCAACATCCCGCGTGGGTTATTACGCTGGTAAATCGATAGAACGGTGTGGTCTATTGCTTGATAAAACGAGGTACTTGGGCAATAATGCACTAAAAATTGGCGTTCATGGCCATCCGAAGACAAAATAGCTGAATTTCTGAATTAAACTAGGAAAAAAATGCAAGAATACGCAAAACTTATTGTTAAATGGATGTTATTTACTTTTTGAGGAGTATCTGCAAGATAAAGCATCTCCTTATATCCTAAAACCATGCCAAGAAATAGGTTAAAGCAAGGTTTGAAGAAAGTCTACGAGGAGGGAAGTAGAAATAATTTCGATGAATAATAAAACAATTATTGAATTTGGCTTTCGTATGATTCCAGAATTATCCAGAGCTCAGAGGATGTTATCCGATAACATCCCCTGAGCTCTGCATAATTCTTCACTACTCAGCCTGACTCAGCCTCATTCAATAAATTAAAGTTTCATGCCATATATCTTGGTCATTGTATGTTCTCCCGTACCTTCCATTATTGGTCGTCCGTTGTGGCAGTAGCTGTCATATGGCATTGTAGCAAGTATTTCAAATCCCCGTTTTTCAAAAATTTTCTGCGAAAAGTTCGATGTCCCCTCGACTTACATACATACATACATACTTTATTGGCTCGTCCCCACGGGGCTTTTCAGAGTCAATTTTACATTACAAAATTATAAACCAAGTACATGACAATAAGAATATAACAATGATAAAAGAAGACAAAGGTCAATAAAATTAATTAAATTAATTAAATAAAGCAGTCATTAAGAAGCTTTTGCCTGAGTAAACACTTGAATTCCGTCACGGATGGGCTAAGTTTGAGCGCNTTCTTCCAAATTTGGTCATCAGTAACTGGTTATGGTGAATTAAACGTGCGCTTTTAGCCAATCAGACTCGGGAAAATATTTTGAATCAATAATAAATTTGTCATTTGAGTCTATTATTTATAGGACAAAGATGGCAGAAAACGTTTTTATATTTCGATACTCAAGCTAGTATGATAAATTGTTGTTGTTGCAGTACAATGTAAATACTAAGAATTATAAATAGCCTTTTGTAATTTGACTCTTTAATTCAGATTTTTCTGCCAGAGAGTTTAACAACAAGCTATTAAAAAAAGATATAAAGATTACTTATTTTACCGTCAGCTAGTGCAGGGCCTGGATTCGAGAAATCTTGGGCGACCTGGGACAATCGGAAATTCGGCAAGTGATCGGTGATAAAGTGACGTCTTTTAAGAATCCAAGGGGCTCCAAAGTTTCTCGGTTCGTGACCTCGCAACGGCTGACCACAAAATTCCAAATGGCCGCCATTTTGCGTAGCAATAAAGAAAGAAATGTAGAAATAATTTCGATGAATAATAAAACAATTATTGAATTTAGCTTTCGTATGATTCCAGAATTATCCAGAGCTCAGAGGATGTTATCCGATAACATTCCCTGAGATCTGCATAATTCTTCACTACTCAGCCTAATCAGCCTCATTCAATAAATTAAAGTTTCATGCCATATATCTTGGTCATTGTATGTTCTCCCGTACCTTCTCTTATTGGTCGTCCGTTGTGGCAGTAGCTGTCATATGGCATTGTAGCAAGTATTTCAAATCCCCGTTTTTCAAAAATTTTCTGCGAAAAGTTCGATGTCCCCTCGACTTCTATCGCTTTGAATCCAAGCTCTTGACACATAGCCACACTGGCCGCAACAAGACGACCCCCCAAACCCATACGCCGGTAATTCTCTTTTACTCCTAAAGTGAAAATATGTACCGCTTCGTCAACTGCATAACGTTCAAAAAAGTTAACTTCCTTGTTTTTATGATTTAAAAAGGTAATTATTCTCATCAAAGGATGTTCTTGATAAGACTGGTCCATCACAGGATCTTTCTTGTTCATTACACCAGTGATTAGTATACCCATGATTTCATCATTGTCCGTTGAGGTCATGCAGACGGAAAGGTTTTTCTTCAGGTCTTCGAGTGCCATTTTCTTGAAACACTCGTCCCAATTTGTCAATCCAAACGCCTGAGAAAGCGGTTCGTCTGGGATGAAATCATTGGCTAAGATGGCATAAGCCTCCTCGTATCGATCAGGTGTGATAATGGTAAGCTTTCCTTTTACGATTTCATATTTTGCTTTGACTTTATGTAGGGCCTGAAAGAAAATATTTCGTATCCATAAATCCACTGACTTAGAAACAAATAACTTGAGAAGTGCAGCTCGCTAAGCTGTAATCAGTTTGTTAAATCACAGGTAGCCCAAGCTCGAAATATGAGCATCGGCGAGCATCGGCATTGTTGCGTAACATTCAAAATATAAGAATTTGTATGGGAGAAAAAACCTATCGTTTCTGTAACCAACGAAAATGAAAGGATTTCAATAAAAGACAGTTTACCTTACTTAAAATGTGTGTTACATCTCTCCTGTGTGGTCTACGGGCCGATTTATGGCCGTTTTATGTCAGTTTTATAGGTTTTTTATGTAAACGGTTTTCTCTCTATATAAAGCCACCAAGGTTGGGCACTCCAGCGAAGAGGCTCGACTGATCCACCGAAGGAAAACGGCCGGAACTTCGCTCCAAGTGCTCCAATCGCCTCCAAATTCCCCCTAGGTAACACACGATAGTTCTTCTTTCCAGTCGTTATCTTGCTTCAAGACTCCTTTGCACCGAGAGCGAATCAAAGGTCGCAAATCTCTGCAACCTTTCCCGTCTGAAGCCATCGACCGAGGCTCGGCTTGAACTCCGCGTTACCGTTGAAAGATAGCGACAGGGCCTGAGACTCAAATTACGCGAACGAAAACGTAAAATTGCAAAAACGCACGTAAAAACGTGCGGCGAATGAAAAAGTAAAATTATGCTCTCGACCTACTGTGACTCAAGTGAAACATAGGCACGTTAAACGTGCATGAGCTATTTTGAATGCTTCAGTGTAACTTTAATGCTTCGGTGTAACCTTACCAAGAGTGATCAATCTACCTCTTTCATCCTAAATGTAGATTAGGTTTTTGTGCGAAATTGCGTATTGCGGTACAAAATGAAAACGCGAAACGCTCAGCTGAGTCGATCCTCAAGCTATATATTCACTTTCCTCTGTCTTTCCCTGTTACATCTGGTGCAAGTTAAACAAATCGTTAAAGTGAAATAAATTTCTACTCACCAAACGTTGATTAGAAGGAAAACTCTAAGGTTTCCTCGGAGTTTCTTAAGCCAAAATGTGACTCATCGAATACTGAATAGTTACGAAATACCAG